GGTGGATTAGATAGGAGTGGGTGTTCACTGCACCAGTGCTCCTTAGGACGAGCTCCCCTGCTCTAGACACTTCTCCCATTGCATAATAAAAAAAAGTAATAGCAACTTCATATACTTCCAAGTCGACTGAAAGCGTCCGGTCTCAACCAAAAGCAAAGGGCAACTGAATGAAACCCGACGACAGCTGAAACACAAAGTCTGCCGAGGAACACAGAGCAAATAGAAGCACTGTACATGAAAACATTGGTACAAAAAACGCATTAGATAATTCTCACTTTCAAAAATTTGTTCAATTACATCACTTACCCAAATTTTATTAAAATCGGTTAACGAAAAGAGGGTGAAATCTAATAAAACGGATTCATCGCCTAATTTGCCACTCTTAGAGGTGGAATATTTTCTTTAAATATAAACGGGACCACTACTGAGGTACCTCCTACCTAACTAAAAAATAATCATCAATATCGCTTATTCATTAAATATTTCTCCAGTCAGACCGAAGGAATTTTCCTTTATGTTTGTTCGATCTTTATAACAATAATAATAACAAACTAGTGGAGTATTTTCTAAAAAAATATGAACATCGAGGTTATAAAAATGATATTCAATCAAATATTGCATATAAATTAATAAAAAAAATAAAAATTCTTTTAATTCAATTTTCCCGCAATTGTTTTTTATGATATATAGTGACGGAACAAACAAGTCGTGCGCCTGTGAAAGCCTATCCATTACAGTTGCAGTGTCACTCTGAGCTTTAAATCGCAAAGATCTAAGGGGCACTGCGTCAGCGCCCGTCACCCTGAGACACAACAAGTCCCACGTACCTGTTACTTCACCAGCACCTTCAAAAATGCTCGCATTACTGCTTGGCGGCAGAAATAGGTAAGGTAGCAGCAGGCAGTACTTCCGTGGACGAATTCTTTGACAAGGAGTTCTACTGCTATTAAAATTAGTCCATAATTTACCACGTACATATTTCACAATAGTGATGATCGTGTTCTGCCGACGGTACATCCCAGCGGCAGGGTGTGGTTGTTAAAATACAGTGTAGCCTAGTTTCTAAATACAGTGAATTCAGTTTTTACCACGTTTTCCTTCTTCAATAACATAATTACTAATTACCATATAGATGCTTGTGTATATAAACGTTTGCACACATATACTATAGCACCTAGGTACTAGAGTGACTAACATTGAGCAAAAGGGCAACGTCTTTTAAGTTTAATACGTCATATCTTACATATAATCTGTTTCAATCCATTAAATACAGTAAAAGTAAAAAAATCGGTTTGGTTAAAATTCTAAAGCAATCACTGAATAAATGGAATAAGTAGATAACACTCTCACGTATATTTTATAAAAATTTCCACTTGATATATCATCACTTTTAACAACAATATTCATTTGAATAACAACTTAAAATCGTATTTGAAAAATGTTCATCCAAACGCGAGGTTATTTGTGAGAAATTAAAACTGACATTTTCTTTTTTTTTAATGCAGATAAACTCAGTTTGCTATAATAATGATTTTATTACATTAGAGGAAAAGAATCGAGGCCGCAGAAGTTGGTCAAATTTAATAAAATGTTATTCATTTTGTATGAAAATATTTTTATTAAATTTTACCCACTTCTGTTGTCCCAATCTTTTTCTTATAATACAATAAAATGATCTTTACATTAAACTAAGAAGTGACGGGACGAACAAGTCGTGCGCCTGGTGGTAAGCGACACGCCTATTCGTAACAGTTGCAGTGCCATTCAGGGCTTTAAATCGCAAAGATCTTATGGACACTGCCACTGCGACCGTCACTCTGAGACATAGGTTGACAAGTCCCATGTGCCTGTAATTTCACCAGCACCCTTACCCTTCTAAACCGGAACACAGCAGTGCTCATATTACTGCTTGGCAGTACTTCCCTGGACAAACTCTTTCAGAAAGAGCTCTGCTGCTACCAAGTCTATCGGCATTGAAAAAAAAAATAGTCAATTTTATTCATTTTGTATGAAAAATATTTGTTTAAATTTGACCAACTTCAGCTGTACTAATTTTCTCGTTCCATACCATGAAATGATCCTTTCATGAAACTGAATCGTTCAGCACTAAAACAATTATGGACAACTCACGCTTAACTATTTATTATGCCAAAATTGTTTTCACAAGAAATTTTCCTAAGACAGTTTCCTTGTATCTTCTACGGTTTCGAGTTTCCAAAAAAAAAAAATTCTATGCCTAGATAATTAGTGATAATAATAATAATAATAAAATCTCTTTATTGCCTCCAATGTAAACAGAAGTTGTACCAAAAAAACAATAACAAATAAAACTGAAATGACAAATAAACTTATATTAAATGACGTAATAAACAGGAGGCAAAAGGAGGTGTCTCAGCTGGTGCTGCGCCTGTTGATGACAGTTGCAGCGCTGGTTTTCAGTCACCCCTTTCCCTTAGATGGAATGCGGGATAATAGTATCGAGGACAGGGCTATTATGTATCAATTTAAATCTAACATACTATTTATCTAAATACAAACATATATATGTACTTTCTTTGATATTAGTAATAAAATCAGTCAATAAATTTCATAAAAAATAAAGAAAATAAAGGAAAAACAAGCGAAATATAATGAAATCAGGTTAGGTAATCCTACGTGTGTGGGGGGGGGGGGGGGTCTGTATCTCTGTGTATGTAATCTAAGGGAAGAAATCCTTCAATGGCAACAACTTCTAGTAAGCGTGTTTCAGATTTTCTGCAGCAAACTGCTTCTTAATTAATGCTGTTTTATATTTATTTCTAAAAGTGTCCACAGTCATTTTATGCCTTAAAGGCGGGGGGAGGTCATTCCAAATTTTTGCTGAATTAAACCATTGCATTGCAGTGAAACCTCGTTTTAAAATTGAAGAGGTTATAAGGATTTAGGTTGGGAACAGGTAAAAAGATCAGAATTAGACGAGCAGCACCTGCTCGCTACAGCGATTGAGCACAGAATGACGACGGAACGAAACAAAACGAGAATGGCAAGCCAAAGGAATTAAAGAACGATTCAAATTTGAAAACAAGTGGCCAGGAACGAAGAAAAAGTAATAAAAATGCGAGATGACGATGGAAGCATCGTCACAAAATTAATCACATGTGACATTATTATACCAAGGATACGACATATTAAATATAGTATATAATTTGTATAAATATACAAAGTAATAGTTATTACCATGATGACCTTTTACCAAATAATTACATTAAATAAACAGAACCAAATTAATTCATTCAACAGATCATACATCATAATTGACTTACTGACATAATTTCATTACTTATGTACATATCATGCACATATAATTTAAATAAACAGTAGATATCCTATACTTCTACATTGCATCGTAAAATTATTTGTTACTGTAATATGCAAATAGACCTGCAATAAACATGCAAAATGTGAATAGAATGTTTTTTCGTTAATAAATGATTCATGTTTCATGTACGGAAAAAAATGTATGGAACGTATCGATCTGACTAATTTATTAATCGAACGGTTTATTCGATTAGTTTAATCGATTAGTTTAATCGATTATAGACGCTCGTGAAATAACGATTTAATTCGTATTTATTGTGAATTCAATTTCATGTGTCGGCAAGTGCGCGCATTCGAGGAGAACCGGTAGTAAGAGGAATGGCTGCGTAACTAAGTAGGTATTCCAAGGGCAAGCGGAGAGAGTGTCAGTAGTTTCAAACCACGTAGTTTCCGACAAACACCGCTCACGTTACTGGTACGATTTGTATCTGACTTGGAAATTAACGCATTCAAGCAAAAAACTATTCAATTAGAAACGTCCATTTCTTTAAAAAAATCTTCACTTTACTGACGGAACGAATAAATCGTGCACCTGGTGGTAAGCGACACCCCTGTCCATAGCAGTTGCAGTGCCATTTAGAGCTTTAAATCCTGAGACATAAGTTGACAAGTTCCATATGCCTGTAATTTCACCAGCTTTCTTGCCCTTCAACACCGAAACGCAATAATGCCCACTTTCCTGCTCAGCGGCAGAAATAGGTAAGGTGGCAGCACTTCCCTGGACAAACTCTTTCTCAAAGGAGCTCTGTTATGGACAGCGTGTCGCTTACCACCGTACACCTTAGTCTTCCTGGCCCTTGGTATCATAAAAAAGAAAAATCTATGTAGCTAGCAATTAGGCATCGAGTATATATATAACCAGAAATAGAGACGAAATAAAGACCATCCATCCCTGGCAACTCATCCGGCAAATGGGCCTTATGTCACTTTTAAATATCAACTCTCGTTTGCGCTGCAATCACAAATTAGAAAGCTGAAATAGTACAGCGCCAACAACTAACCTGTGTGTACGTCTTCGTATATTCCAAAAAATATTCTGTATTTATTGTAATAAAGATAAATATCTCTACTATAGTGGGCTGTTCCATTCGGTGGTGTAGGGAAAAACATCAAACATCTAATTACAAAACAAACGGAATCACATTTCATCGGTAATTAAATATGTAAGTTTTCACTTTTCGTCCATTACAACAAAGCTCAAGTTAAACTGGTCTACTGGAGTGAAACAATTGACTACACCCGTCATTTGTTTCGTATTCGGGTTGGCCAATCGGGACACGGTTGTCATGGTTATGCTATAGCACATTAAATAACATTTCGTCTCTATTTCTAGTTAGATACTCGATGCTAATTGACTGTCTAGGAAACTCAAGGGCCGGCAGTTACCTTGCCCAACGCATTAGCATAGTAATACAAAGGGGGAACGCTGCCAGCATCTTGGGCACCTTGCCGCGGGGACCCAATTTTAATCATATAAATTAAAAATCCTAGATTTACTTTCTAGGAGTTAAGCATTTATTGTCTTTTTTACCTTAACTGTGTATTATCTTAATTAAATACATTATTATATTAACTGTGCTAAAACAGAAACAAAATTTCAATGCTGCTAGGCCACCAATATAAAAAAAGACATAGAAACTTACCTGTGTCTCTGTCAAACTCAACGCCTGCGCCAATTGTTTTCTCTCAGCTCCGACAACGTAGTGGTTTTTCTCAAACGCGTGTTCCAGCTTGAGAAGTTGCGAGGGCGAGAACGCTGTTCGGATCCGCTTCGGTTTCCTGAAAGGCTGGAGAAGGAAACCTGGAATATCTGGACCTGGAAAGACAATGAAAGGCTTGTTTAGTTTATCGAGAAACAACTACGGCGCAAAATTACAGTCTCGCTGTCTCACAAAATTTGAAGAGTTAAAGAATTAATACACAATTGTAATTTTTAAGTTTATTAAATGTCAGAATGTTTGACCGTCATGATATTCATTTACTTTTATGAAATTACTCCACTAGTTTGTTATAATTATTAATACACCGGCTGGCGTCGAACCAACGGTTTCCAGCAAACACTATACCAACTTAGCCACGGAACGAACTAGCGGACCTTACGAACTTTTCTATGTGCTTATTGCAGATACTTATTTTTGGTTTTCAACAATATACAATTATTAAAGCGATATCTCTTTAAACAGCTGCTGGTAGTTGTTAAGTATACCTGGCTGAGTGAAGAAATAGATTTCTCACAGCCGCGCTACAGCAAAAATGTCGTTAAAAATCAAAAACAAACATCTGAAAGAACCACGTATCAAGTATCAAGTATCAAGAATTAAGCTTCATTCGCATCACGCATCTTTTCATTTGGTCAAGTATTGCTTTTTTGGCAGTAATTGTTTCGGACGGATGTCGGAGGGAGGTCGAGAGTAGAACCCCTGGTTCGGTCCGTAGCTCTGTTGGGAAAGCATTTACGAATCCAGCCAGATCGTAACAATTTTTCTGAGTGTTCGATCTTTATATTAATAATTATAACAAACTAGAGGAGTAATTTCACAAAAAATAAATGAATATCATGGTAGTAAAAATAGTAACTTTCAATATTACATAGATTTTAAGACTTTCGTGGTTATTCACTAAATGATTATCACTAGTATCAGGTTTCTTACCACGGTATGACTTTTTTTATTTTCCCGATATTTCGTTCTAGTTGACTAGAGAGGTAGTGACCCGTGACCATGGAGCGTGCAACCGTTCCGAAATATCGGGAAAATAAAAAGAAGTCATACCGTGGTAAGAAACCTGATACTAGTGATAATCATTTAACTTTCAATATTGACTTAAAAATAAGAATCAATATCGTTTCTTTAAATTTCTTGTCGCCTGATCCCTTTTATTACAAATAATATGCGTAATTTGAATTCATTCCAAGAATTCGCAGAAAGCGTGACGCTTCTCACATTTATATGGCGCGAACATGTATAGAGTGGAATTCCCTACTAACAGACTTAGGGTCATATTCTGCAACTCCACTCAATGCTTAAGTCAGGATTTGAGTATGGTTTAAAGCACTCGAAATCATACTCAAGTCCCTGCCATTAGGGTCGTATTTCCAATGCTTGTGTTTCCAGTGCAATCCTGGCTTGAGCATTGAGTAGAGTTCTGGAATACGACCCTTGATCCCTGAATGCTATAACTTGCAACTTTTTCAAGGCAAGAAGGAAAGTGAATAGGAATTATTTAGGTGTGCATGCGTCACTTTCCTCCGACGAGATGGAGGTCAAATGCACTCATTTTTTATAAAGAGGAAAGTTATTTCTAAAGAAAATTATTTATGTCGGACTTCTGGAAAATGAAACTATTTTTTCGCGTATATATCCTTTTTCCAAGAAACTAACGTTTCAGGATCTTTATTCTAACCAGGATCAAGTCCGAAACGTTCGTTTGTCTGAAAAAAACTAACACATTATTAGATTTAATTAATACAATAAGATTCTTGAGAATATATTACGTTTATCATTTCCTAAGTTTAAATCTTACATTAAAAGTAATGTAATTGAAATCTCCTATTACAAAATTGAAGAGTATGTGTTAGTTAAAGATGTATGGAAAGACAACAAGAGTCTAGATTCCACACAATTTTGATCCAAAGCATTTAAGTTTATTTGAAAAGAGCAATTCCTAAAGTTTCTTATTCGTTCTTCTCAAGAAAGTCAGCGTAGTGAACGAGCAGTAGCTTAAAATGTAACGTTTTCAAGTATAAACTTATTTTATCTATGGAATTAATGATTCTTTGACTTTGACTATATTTTCTTTGCATTACGCGATTACTTTTATGAGCCGATTTCAATGGTTCTGTTTTGTTACAAAGGGGGTAGGTACTTCAGCACCGATCCCATTCAAATTTGAAAAAAGAATATTCCACCTTTAAAGGTGGTAAACCAGGAGATAAATCGAGTTTATTGTATTTCACCCTCTTTCCGTAAACCGATTTCAATAAAACTTGGCAAATAGACGTAATTCCACGAACTTTTGTGGTCAGCTTTTTCTATAATTAAATGAGACCACTTGTGAGGTACTCTTTTTTCAACAAAAAAAGAATTATCAATATTGGTTCACAAATGGCGGTGTTATCGCGTAACATACATAGAAAAAAAACAAAGAGACGAATTGAGAACCTCCTCCTTTTTATGAAATCGGTTAAAAAATATATAATTATTTATTTCTGTTATTGTTAATAGAATTGCGAAACAACTTGACACAACAATAATTCTTTCTCATTATTATCATTTTTTGTCATCATTAACAAACAAATTATACGTCTTGCTGTTCGTAAATATGCAATTACATCTGGTTAATTAGCCTTCGTATTTGCCATAAATAATAGTGACATTTCAATTATTGGTTCTGCTGTCATTATTTAGGTTTTTTTTTTTGTTTTTTTTTAATATTGTGACTCGGCAAAATGACTGCACCGCGCCTGATGGAAAGTGCGAATACAGTCCAGAGATGAGAGTAACGGATGGAAAACACAAATATCTTCACTCCGTCACTATCATTTTGCCGGTCTGGCCAAATGCTTCTTCACACTACGTTTGAAGGACCGTTCAATTAATGTCATATGGGTTAAAAGAAGACGAGCATTTCTGGGGCCAGTGTATAATAAGTTGATGTAGATAGGTATGGTTCTGAAAAATTGGAACATTATTTTTTTTTAAACTGATTATTTACTTTAAATTTTGACGACCTCTGTGGTTGAGTGGCTTGCACACCTGTTTTCATGGTGTAGCCATCCCTGAGGTCCCGGGTTCGATCCCCGGCCGGGTCAACGTAAAAACTAAATTTTCTATTAATGTTTCATCACCATGATACTCATTTTTTTTTGTGAAATTATTCCACTAGTTTGTTATAACAATTAAACAAAGATCGAACACTTTTCGAAAATTCACTTCGATCCCCGTTGAATTCGAACCAACGTCTCCCAGCAAAACGTACCAGACGCTATGCCAACTAAGCCACGGAACGAACCAACGGAGCTCCCGAATTTTTCCATGTGTTTGCTGCACATTTTTGTTTTTAGTTTTTAAAGACTTTTTTGGCATAGCGCCATCTATGACAAATCTATTTATAAGTTTTTCTTCATTCAGCAAGCTACTTTTACAGCTACCAGCCGCTGACTAGAGATGTCATTTTAATAATTTCTATTAAGTTTTATTTAAAGTCAGAAAGTCACCATGATATTCAATAATTTTATAGTGAAATTACTCCACTAGTTTATAATTTTCTATATTTTCTCGGGTCTGGGTGTTTGTGGTACCGTCGTTGTTTCCGATTTCATAACACAACTGCTTTAGTTACTTACTGTGAAATTTTAATTCACCATAAGTGTTTCGGTGAAGAAAAATATCGTGAGTATACCTAAGAAGTTAACAATTCGCATACAGCCCGCGTGAGAACTACAGCCTAAATCCTCATCATGAGAGAAGGCCTGTACCTATCAACAAAATGTTGAAAACGAGAAACCTTATAAACAAAATAACGTATGCGAAACTATTATCGATTAACGATCAATGTAAAATGCAAATGTGTTGTAACAATTAAAAATAGAAAAACGCTACCACTAGCTAATCAATCCAAGCAAATTAAGTTGGTTATAATTACCATGTTACAATGTATATTCTAGTAAAAATATAACATCGTAATCAAGAGATATCGTAATATTGATATATGTTTAAAAATCAATTTATTATTTGCGTTTATCGACATTCCATTTTTAATTTCTGACCGTATCCGTTTCCTTAAAGGTCTATAAGGTCACGCATTGCTAGCTTTTGAAGCCGTGTTCCGTGCGTCTGACAACAGGAACATGTGTAATTTCTTTTTCAAATATTGGATTTCCGTGCATCGTGCTTAATTTTATTGTATGACAATTATTTTATTTTATTGCTTTTGTTTTTATATATAATTGTAATTTGTATTTAATATGGGTATAGGTATACCTGTCAGTAAAGAATTATTATTATTATTAAATCCTCGTAGTAGTAGTAGTAGTCAAATTAATATAAAAATACTAATATTAATATAATAATAAAAATTAATTCGTTTAAAAATTGCAACTACTAAAACCCGCCATTTTTTTAGTAATAAAATTTTTCTTCTTTTTTTTGGTACTGTTCTTTCCCATTATGGAAAAGGCAAAGTCACTTGTACGCCATACAGCCAAGACTGAGAGTAATATCTCTGTCAGGCATAGATTTAGTATAAATCTATGGATATACTAAATCTATGCTGTCAGGTTACATTACATTGGGACAGGCTATGACATCTTAGCCGTACTGCTAGAGCTTACATTTTAATTTTTCTTCAATAGTTAATTAAATTTTCTGACATTTTTTCACAGGAAATAGTTATGTATTTACGGTGGCCATTTTGAAACCTTAAATCTTCGTACTTAACAAATGAAGTCATGTATATTATACGTGTTTTAATATGATACCAATTAGTGACCCATGTTGCGTTTTTTTTTGCTGAATAAATAAATTGCTACATTGGCGAGTTGCCTTTTACGAAACATGTTTTTATTTCTTTATTTTTATTTTTATTTCAATTTATATATACAATTATAACAATTGAAAAAAAAAACTGTTTTCCTTTTCTTTTATTTATAAAATCTTCTTTCTAAATACTCTGTTCAGTTGTCATTAGAATGCTGATTTACTGATGTTTTCTCTTTTGTATTGTTTTAAAATAGTGTTTTAATATGTTTTCTACAATCTGTACCATTACAATAAAAATATCCATAAATTTAAACATGACCGGAATCGTTAATTTAAA